TTACTTAAAAGTGAGCAACGACGGAAAATTTTCAAATTTCGTACAATGCTACGAAATGCTATTCAGTTATGTACAAAAAATCCTCTTGTTGATATTTGATAGAACGCTTCATTCTAGAGTAAAAACGAGACCAGACTTCAAATTTTGATGTCTGAGTACTCCATTCAAGACATCCCATTACTAGATAACCACAGTATGTAACATTTTGAAATCTTCATACCGATCTAATCACATAGCAGACTGAATTTTGTCATCACGAAAAGATACAGGGTGGACAAAAAAGAAACTATGCATATTTTCAACATTGACACCCTGTATATCAAAAGTTAGGACGTTTACAAGATACGTTCATATAAAGTTTGAATCTTGAAATGGGTCGAATAATCGGCCCCTTGAATATCAGCATATCATTAAGAAACACCCTGTATAGGTGCTGATTTGTCAATGAGATATACTTACCTCGTTTTGGAAACGCCGTGATATTAATATGGATATAGTGAAAAAATAAGTATTTGACACTTCGCACTGATGATCAATTTCACACTGAAACCCATAAATGAGTAATGAAAATGCTGAAGCTGTCAAAGTGCATAGTATTGACACGCAAATCCATTCATACGAAAAATGTGGGGGCTTTACGAAAAAAAATATATATGATGCTACAGAATGGAATATTTGTATGTTTGAATACCTATACGATACGTCATTTGTACACTTCAAGCTGTCATGTATTATCCAAAGTTCTGGAAAGAATCGTATGTAATCAAGTAACATCTTTTGTAGATGAACATAATATATTACCGCTCCATCAATCAGGATTTCGCAAGGTCATAGTACGACTACCTCACTTTTGAACCTAACTGATAACATATTCAGATCTCGCGATAAAAAGATGGCTTCAATTTTGATATCCCTTGATTATTCCAAAGCCTTCGATTGTATTGATCATGAAATGTTGTGTAGTAAACTCAAATATTATGGCTTTGCCGATTCTGCTGTTCGTTTTTTCAAATGCTACCTCTTCGATCGATATCAGATGGTTAAAATAAATGATGTTCTGTCTCGTCCAGCTCACATTATTTCCGGTGTTCCTCAAGGGTCCATTCTTGGCCCTCTTTTATTTTTGATATATACAGCAGACATTTATGATAAAATGAAATTTTCAAATCTTCAAACTTATGCAGACGACACACAACTTGTGCATCATTTTGACCCCTCTGTTGCAATTGATACCTTTGAGGAAATAAATTGCGATTTACAAGCCATCAGTCAATATTCTGTTCAGCATAATTTAACATTGAATTCCACCTAAAGTGACAATAAGATAGCTTATTTTGTTCTGAAGGAGTGAGAGAACAGCTCAAACAAAGTATACAATTGCACATAGGAGATACATCTTTAGAATACTCGACATCATCGAAAAATCTAGGACTCATCATTGATGAAAAATTAAGATTTGTCGAACATGTCAAGACATTAATACAGAGCTCATATGCACGATTAAGATTGCTCTTTGCAAACAAGAGCATCATGAGTTTAAATCTGAGAAAACAATTATGTGAGTGTCTCATACTGTCAATTTTCCACCATTGTAACATCGTTTATTTTCCCTGTTTAGAACAAAGAACCATTTACAGAATTTGAAAAATTCAAAATACATGTTGTCGACTCATTTTCAATTTGAGAAAATATGATCATGTGTCCCATAAACTCAAGGAACTTCAGTGGTTAGATATGAGCAATTCCTCAAAATATTATTTCTTTAATTTCATTCACAAGTTGCTCCAGGATCCAACTCCAGCTTATCTTACAGAAAAACTCATTTTCAGACAAAATGTCCATAATATAAATGTTAAGACATCAGCTAACATTAACAATGCCTCATCATACCACGTCTCTGTTTGAAAGAAGCTTCACATACAACTCGGTTATACTGTATAATTCATTACCAATAGAATTCAAACAATCACCATCGACGCAATTTCGTAAAAAAATTAAGAGCAATTTGTTGAATCATACTTTACATGTGAGACAATAAGTGAAAATGTAGATGTCAAGCTAGATTTAGGTTTTTAGGATTAGTATTAGGATTGATTATAAGTCGAGCACAGGTTAAGTGTAAGAATAGCTTCCTAGCTAAACTTCTCCTGATGCACATACCACCTATGCCTCATGTTACTATGTAATATTCTTTTGAGGAAATAAAGACGGATTATTATTATTATTATTATTATTATATAACACACAGTGTTGCCACTAATACAGAAACAAATGCCATATGGACATGAAAATTACAAAACTCTTTCCATACCCGGAAATCAGGCAACAAAATATCTAGTTGGTCTTTCTCCTACCTCGAAGTGAACCAGAGTTTGGCAATATAGTATGAATGTTGCTTGCTTAACTTTTATATATGTGTGTGGACAGGTTCGATAAACCTTCATTTCCGGAAATTAGCCACAATATCTACATTAAAATACGGTGTACCGAATTAACTTGAAAGAGTTGACAGTAAATACATATTATTACCTACTAAGAAAACAAATTCAACAGTGGTGAACTATTGAGGTCTAATTGATAATTAAGTAAAATGTCTAATGATTAGAAATCAACAAACTCAAAAATTATGACTGACAGGTAACTAATCCTGCAGGTTGGGAAAGTAGGATACATAAAATGTAAGCATGCCAACGTTAGGTTAGTTCATTGTACCAGTCTCAGACGAATAAAAGAAATAGACCCGTATTATCTATCCTTTTTCTGAAGCCAACATACTTGTCAAGACCCCTCATTAACAAGATAAGAACCGACTGGTTCGTGTATCGTCGGAGCATTAAGTTCGGTCTCGTTCGAGCGTGGTCATTTCAGTCATTGTTTTGATTTTTGATAGTATTGAGGTTAGCATTGTTGTCTATCGTAGTTCTGATTTCCTGTGTCTATTTTCAGTGGGAATTGTATTTTTTCGTGTGGAAGACGATTCATAGTGAAAACAGGTAAATCTTGCATGATTTGTGGCCTCAAGAAAGTTCCTGGGAATGAGATATCAGTTCATCGGTAAGTACCATAGACGTAGGTAGGGGGTTCAGTTCTGATGAGTACCTATGTCATATGTTCGATGTAAGATATTAGATGTAATAAATGTATGCTTAGACCTTATTTCTGCTTAAATGAATAAAAAAAGGGTGTATGAAATGAAATATAGAGGGTTTTAAAATTACAGATTTCCTTCATATGAGAAAATGAAGAAGCTATGGTGTGATGTCCAAAAATTGGAAGTGGGTGATTTGAAAGACCAAGTACTTCCACAAAAAAGATATTATACAATGGCCTAGTAGAACATTCATCAAGAAGGCCGCAATTCCAAGTCTCATAGATATTCATCCAGAATCAACTGCTGGTTCTAGTGACCTCCATGACACCATGGTTATTGAATCAGAATCAATGTGAGTACTTGCTTAGTTGAAATGAAAGTGTGTTCAGTAAAAAATAAATGAAAATAGTATAACTCTTGTTTCAGTGAGGATAGAAAGACCACTGTTGTGTGGATTTTATTTTATCTTTGAATTCAGACTTTTTTTGTCTGAATTCAGACTTTTTTCTCTGAATTCGGACTTTTTTGTCTCAAATCAAACTTCTTGTCATATGTGTATGTGTAAAACAGGGTGTTCCGAAAATAAACCCCAAAAATAAATTGAATTCAGACAACAAAGTCTGAATTCAGAGAAGAAAGTCTGAATTCAGAGAAGAAAGTCTGAATTCAGACGAAAAAGTATGAATTAAGAGAAAAAAGTCTCAATAAAGAAATAAAATGAAATACACACAACAGTGGCCTTTCTATGCTTTAGTAGGAATAAACATGGTATTCCTATGAAATTTATTATTGTTTTCAACACCATTGTAATTTTGACCTTTTTTCAGATCAACCAATTGCAATTGAACCAATTGCATCTTCTTCCCACTCAGAGAGCCTGATGGATGAAATGCAGAACTTCATGATTATGTAAATTCATCAAATGTTTGCAACATGACTTTGTGTAATGAAGATATAATAGCTTATACTGCAGGCTCTGTAGTGAGAAAAATAAAACCAAACATACATTGTAATTCATGTCTGATTATGTTAGAAATTGATGAGAATATTTCAGCACTACAGTTGAGAAAAACATATGGACGATTGATTTTGTTAAAAATATTTGCAAAGAAGGCGAAAAGTGCTTAAGGTCATTTTATAGGAAGAATATTTTATTCAAGAATCAATGATCTTCAGCAATTTTATTGGTTTTTTGTGAAGTATATTACGAGTTTTGATCATCAAACAGTTATTTGCACTTCATTTTTTTTACCATTTTCAAAAAAAAATAAGTAACAAATTCGATTATGTGGCAAGAAAAGTTAGCCTCAGATTAATTTCTATGTAGGTACAAATTTGCCGTGGTAGACACTTCATTCTTCAGTCTCCAGACATACTTTCTTTTTTTTTTTTCAACTACAAATACCATTTTTCAAAAAATAATATGCGTAATTTAACCATGGAAATTTAATTTGGTCCGCCTATGACTGAGGGGTCTGAGTAAACAGAGATGGATATAGGTCACACTCTTCTAGCCTCAACAGAGATAGCCATATCCTTGTTACAAACATTATAATGCATTGAAGGTAGGGTTGACGGATCTATTTCTTTTATTCGTCTGAGGTACCAGTATATCACCTGATGAAGCTACTGTGTTTGCGAAACATGTCATGTGTTTGGGAATTTTGTGTAAATTTTATCGTTTGTGACGTTTTTACATTTAAATAATTTTGTCTTCTTAGGATGAATGAGTCTGGAGCTGAGAGTGAACCTACTAACATGATATTCAATCCAACTTTTTCTCAGAAGTGCGATTTTTTAACTGAATGAATATGCAAGTATTGAAAGTTAGTTTGTCGTGTAGAAAAACCCAGTGTCGATTGAACTCCGTTCAGTAAGTGCACTGTTGAAGACGTGAAATTAACCATACCTTCCAATAATCTTCAGCTAACTTTTTATGCTCCTCGTACAAGGCCACCGAATTGGGATTCGAGAAATCAGGAGTGGCCGGCCTCAGATGAGGATCCAGCGAATCCAGGAGGACGTACATGTTGCTGAGGTCTTGGTTGGTGTGATGGCTGCTCTCGGAGGATTTCTGTACGCCAGCTTGAATCGTGTTGACTGTGCCTAGAACAACAAAACAAAGATATGGATATGCAAACCATGTCCTCAACCTCAGGGTCCCAGTTACAACGAGATGAAAATCTTGAAGGCGACTGGTAGTCGTAGTATTGTTAGTCGACTATGGTCGAAAGCATGATGAAAATAGACTGGTGTAACCACTTGTCAATTGTTTATTTCCAAAACGTGTAGACCGCGAAACACCGTAGCAAGGCCGCACCGGATTGACTGTAGATGGCGTAGGGAACATCGTGCCACATATACTTCACAGATATAATGAAAATTTCACGTCTTTTTCATTAAATCAATCACTTTTTCTCTATGTTTTTGAATTACGGATTAATATACGTAAATGTAAACAACAAAACAAAACAACCATTGTGTAGCAAGATCACTTCGGGAACAGCGCCATCTAGCGTTAGTTTTGCGCGGCCTTACTATGGTGATGGAATTCGACATTATCAAGTAGGCCAGAGGTCTACAAAAATTTCTAGGGTTTTGTAAGAGGAAGCTATTTCACCATACATATATCCACCTTTGTCGAAAGTAAGTCGAGTTCACAAAACACATTCATATGTGTATCTGGCACTTCAGAGCTTCCGTACATATAGGTAAATATATAAAGAAGCAATTCCACGAAGATTTCATCATAGATTTACGTTCTGTCATGTTCCTGTATTTCGTTCTTGAGCTAGTGTTTTCTGAGCGGAAGCATACACTATAGGAAATTAATATCAATTCGATAAAATGGACTCTTTTGCAAGGAGATTAGTGAATGTAGAACTCCAATATTTTCGAGTGAAGACAGGTTTTTTAGGGTTTAATGTAGTTTTCCTGATAGAACGACATGCTTTGCCTCTAGTGCCCTTCTAGAATTATAACTTAGTAAATACACCACACTTCAACTCCAGAACAACGCACCATTAAGAGTGTATCTAAATAACACTGAAAAAATTCAAAGGGTGATTCATTCCGTGATATTTAAGAAAATAAAGTTCATAAAAACATGTGTCTTACCTTGCTTCGTTTTCGAGATATTTCCATGAAAAATCGTTTTTCTGCTATCGATGCTTCTTCTGGTGCAATTATATTCGAAATGATATTTTCAGTGGCGTCACAGTGGGTAAATTTATCGATATTTATGGTAAATGTCATTGTACGCCACCGGGTTTTTTGAGTTTCATATTTTTATTAGATTGAACTATTGAAATAAAAACTTTTTTTATCCTTTGTGTTATTTTTGTATCTAGCTCAATTTTTGAGGAAACAATAAAAAATCGATTTGACTCCAAATTTTAATATATGCGTGTTTTCAAGACTTCTATTGAGATTACTCAATAACTCCAATCAGAATCATTTTGAGACTTTCTCATTTCCCCACCATACTGAATTTTGGCACCAAGAAAGTTTACACAGGGGGTTACAAAAAACAATTAATACTTCCAACTTCTGCATCCTGTATCTCAAAAACAGACAAAATAAGGACACATGTTTTTATGAACTTTAGATGCTAGAATATCACAAGTTGAATTTTTTCTGTGTTATTTAGATACACCCTGTATATTCAGCTTATCATCATTTATTCAAGCTTTATTGTATTGAAAGGAAATTTATTATATTTTTCAATAAACTCGCGCCAGTATTTCCATCGCTCATCTCTGACATAAATACAGGGTGTTTCACAGGTAAAGGAAAATATTTCAATGGTAGATAGGGGTCACCAAGGTGGTTCTGAAAATACCATTTTTGATAGGTCTTAGAGTTTTCATAACGGAGATACAGGGCGATTTATCGATTACGAATAATTATTCATTCGTCTATAAGTATTGAACTACCCAGTATATTTTCGTAAAATTTGGTATGGAACTTAAACTTGGGACGTTGAATGCATTCACCTATCGGGCGAAGTGAAAATCCAGGTTCGGCTTCAGGAAAAATTTACATTTATTCGAAATATTAAAATAACACCCTGTATGTAATAATTGACAAAGTTCATCAAAGGAATCGTGAAGAGGAGGAAAAACTGAACTGGATTTGATGCTTTTTGTTTTCCCGCCACCAATTCTCATCGTAACAATCTCAAACAGGAAGCTAAAAGTATGTCAATTTCAAGAGTATTGAAATTATGAAACCACTTTCAATTATGATTATTTGATATATTCTTGTTGAATGATCGTTCAAAGGAACTTACTAAGTCTCACAGTCTTTATAACAGATATACAGGGTGAATTATCACTCGTTCATAAGTATTAAACTACCCACGCAGTAATATTTTCTCAAATTTTGTATTGTGAGCTTACTTGGGACGATGGATTCATTGACCTAACAGGCAGAATGGAAATACGGGTTCAGCTTCAGGAAAAGTCTCATAGCCTTTATAACAGAGATACAGGGTGAAATATCGAATTATAATTCCGCCTGATAGGTTAATGAATCCATCGTTCCAAGTAAGCTACATACCATATTTGAGAAAATGTTACTGGGTAGTTTTATACTTATGGACGAGTGAATAATTATTCAAAACCGATAATTCACCCTGTATCTCCGTTATAGAAACTGTGAGACTTAGTAAGTTCTTTCGAGCGATTTTTTGACTAAAGTATATCGAATAATCATAATTGACACTAGTTTCATAATTTCAATACTCTTCAAATTGACATACTTTCAGCTTTCTGTTTATGATTGTTACGATGAGAATTGGTGGCGGGAAAACAAAAAGCATCAAATCCAGTTCAGTTTTTCCTCCTCTTCACGATTCCTTTGATGAACTCTGTCAATTATTACATACAGTGTGTTATTTTAATATTTCGAATGAATGTGAATTTTTCCTGAAGCCGAACCTGGATTTTCTCTTCGCCCGATAGGTGAATGAATTCAACGTCCCAAGTTTAAGCTCCATACAAAATTTTAGAAAAATATACTGGGTAGTTCAATACTTATAGACGAATGAATAATTATTCTAAATCGATAAATCGCCCTGTATCTCCGTTATGAAAACTCTAAGACCTATCAAATATGGTATTTTCAGAACCACCTTGGTGACCCCTATCTACCATTGAAATATTTCCCTCTACCTGTGAAACACCCTGTATATACTTGTGGTACCAGATGTAATATACAGGGTGTCCCAAAATTACCCTGCCAAACTTCACCAGCGACTTCGACGACAAAACATGAGTCAAAAAATTTCTCCTAAGGGAGCTACGGCTCCCTGAAAAAGCCTCGTGAAGATTATATTTCTTGAATATTTCCGAAACGCCATGTGATAAATTGATGCAATTCGGTACAAACTTCCCATGCCCAAGGCAGTGAAAATAAAATCATTTCACAATGTCATTCAGGAGTGAATAATACAAGGTAAGACAACATTAGATATTGCTCGAACTTTTTTGTAATAATAGTTATCGACAATTCAATCTCGGATTATGAAAATCCACACCTCTTTACAGAAAAAAGGTGCTCTTGTTCAGTATCGAATAGATGTATCATTTTCGAGTAAAATCGATTTAAGAATATTGTTACATCTCAGATATTATGCATAACATTGCAATCAATCGTAGTGGATATAAAAAAATGCACAATAATTGAAATAGTTTTTCAACATCATTCTCCTATTTTACGCGCCTCTATAAGATTGTTTGGTGAAAATAAAGTAGTTGATTTTTTTATAGCCACTATAATTTGAAAATTGGCAACGTTATGCATTAGATGTGAGTGTAACAATATTTTTACATCGATTTCAGTCGAAAATGATACATCTGATCGATACGAAACAAGAGCACATTTTTTCTGTGAAACGGTGTGGATTTTCAAAATTCGCGATTGAATGGTCGAAAAATGTGCATGTAAAAGAGTTTGAGCAATATTTAATCCCAGTCCCACCCTGTATTGTACACTCGTGAATCAAATTTTGGAATGCTCTTATTTTCGATGCATTGAGCCTGGAAATATCAGTTCTTGTACCGAAACGCATCATGTTACCAAATGAAGTTTCGAAAATATTCAAGAAATATCATCTTCAGGAGCCTCTCAGAGGCCGTAGCTCCCTTAGAAATCTTTCTCGACTCATGTTCATTGAAACTTTTCTTCCAATTGTTGGTCGTAGAAGCCGCAGGTGAAGTTTGGCTTTAGGGACACCCTGTATATCAGCTTTACAGATAATATACCATTTTTTCTCGATTATTTCGTTTTTAGACTATACATATAAATTATAGCCGCTGCTATCCAGAAATTCACACTGTTTTTGTGTGGATGAGTTATTCCGAGAATAAACCTACGTAGCCTAAAATTGTGGTTTCAATTGTTTTCTCCAGGGAACATGTCGCACATGGACGACGAACTCGTTATATTAATTCTGCACTAGAAACGTTGACACCTTCGAATCGCGCTGAAATTTAGCTGCAATATTATTCAACTTTGAATTTTAGAACGCTGTGTTCCAAAATCGATTTTCTGTTTTATGAAAATCGAAGGTCAAGATAAACTTGGCAGACAAAACAAATTATATTATTATTGCAAGGTTGAATGGTCTAACGGATAAAAATGCGGGAGCGGAAAAATTGTCATGCGAAGATCAAATGAGCTATGAGCTTCAAGGCAACAATTTACGTTATTTGCCAAAATTAAATTCCTTCCTTGTCATCCAAAATTATATTTCAGAATGTTCATCAAATATTAAATAACATCAATTGATGCGAGGAATCTCCAAACTGGCAATCAAGAAACTTTCTAATAAAAAATTATCATTGAAATAGCGAATCACTATCGACCTCAACAGTAAATACCTCCACAGTAATACTTTTTTCAGGGATAAAGGAGAATGTTCCTACTGCATGAGAAAGGAGACTACACTTTTCAAACAATCACTTTTCAAACAATATAACCTCACTCGGCCTAAATGAACCTTGTTCCTACAAACTATATTTTTCGAAAAGTCACTAGAGAAAACAGAATAAAAAAAGTCCAAACATCGCATTCATTGAACCCGTGGCATTCGAACACACAGG